ATGAGCTACTGTTAAACCGGCCGCCATATCACTGCCCACTGTTTCAGAGCTTCAAGGAAATTCTCATTAAGCTCCAGCAATAGCTTCCGAGGCTAACTTCTTTCCTTTCTGTAAGCACCCTGTTGACTTACTGTTTGAAGCTTTCTGCTGGGCTTCCATTTCTTTTTGCTCAGCCTTTGCTAAGCAAGCTCGTGCTTGCAGAGATAGGCTATTCTCATGCCAGGAGGTCTCATGGACTCTGGACTTCCTGTCCCCACTCACCAGGCTCCCTTGGCAGCCTGCTTTGTGCACAGGATACACCTGATGTCATTTTAAGCACCTCATAGCTCTTTCCAAGCAGCACACAGATGTATTGATATGCGTGCCCATAGACCTCTTGACCTGAGTTATGAGCATCAACCAAGAACAGATGGCACCATAACACTTCAAAGGGTTGAGAGTTTCCCCTGAAGCATCCAACATATCTACTGCAAATCCACTACCTACATTTATCAGTTCTTAAAAGTAGGGCATAAGCTGATGCACAGGGACCATCAGGAAGTCTCACATCCATTTTAGAAGAAATCGGATTGACCTTTAATGTACAAGCAATGCAATTTAATTGCAACTTTATTAGGTTATAGACTGGTTCTCTAGTATGTATTCAGGTAACTGCAGCTATTAATTTGTCAGGGCAGAGTATAACTGGGTATATCTGATTTCATAGCTCTCAGGCACTATTTCTTGATGAACAGGCAGTGATGTCTGAAGGTGGTTCAGATGCTGCCACAGCTCAGGGGTGTCTGTGCCACCCATTTTAGAGAAATACAGCAGCTTTGCTCACGTAAGCCAGGGGCCTCAGCTGGTGTGCTCAGGCCATCGCATACCCAGTTTGGTTGAGGTTTTTCCCCCGTATCTCCCTTTATTCCAGCTTTTCTCAAGGATCATCCTCCTAGTCCCGTGAGTGTCCTTGTCAACTCTCCAAGCTCTAAATACTATGGTGGTTTCACGAAAAACAAGAGAAAACATAGTCAGTCACTCAGCTGAGATTCTCAGATCAACCTGGGGATTCAGGAATTAATCCCAGTGGGAGCTTCGTGGCTAAACCTCCCAGGCAGCTGTGGGTATACTCAGCTGTGCTCTCTGGTCCTGGATGTTACTGAGCAATTTCCATATCCATTGCTGAAAACGCATATTTTACTTCCCTAGCAATGTGATGACTCTGTTATTTCTGCACAGTATGTGTCAGCAATATCAACCAGGAATTTGCTGTGTCCACAGTGACCTCTATTTAAACCTGTTCTTATTGTTTGTTGCATTAGTCTCTCATCCATGTCATTCTCCTGTCCGTGACATCCAGTGCCACACCACATAAACACTGTATTTGTGAGCATTTCCGCTCCTACACTAGGAGGATGGATGTGTAAGTTCCCAATTATGGTCAATGAAAAAAAAGAGAGGCAAATCAATCACTTCTGCAGGCTGAATCACCATCTAGAGGTGCTTCTCTGTAGTAGAAAACATAAAGTAACTTAGCTATTAAATGATAGATCTCAGCACAGGGACTATCCTGTGTTCATGGCCATCTCCACCATGGATCCTGTCTAATAGCAGAAGTTAATACATAGCACAGGCACATCATGGTTTGTAATGTCCCAGGCAGAGGCAAACAGGCAGCCCAACAAACTTCTGCTGCATCCAGCAAACCCCCAAAGTCATGGATTGCCTTAAGAGAGTGCATATTCCATCAGCTCATATAGAAATGCCTATATAACGTATGGGATTAAATACTTCATTGGCACCTTCAGTGTTTGGCATCTTTGTGATCAAGCTTCAGCTGAGTTTTAGCAGGAAAGGGCACAGTGAAGACAGTTATGGTAAGATCTCGGGTGAAAAGGACAGTTTACATGCAGAATGAATGCACAGTAATATTTACAGTACATTAGCTTTTTTTCTGCTCACCTAAGTTGTCATAGGGTGTGACTCCAGCCCATTGGGAAACCATCTTTTCACTACTCAGCAATGGTTCCCAGTGTCAGCCTTTACTGCCTGCCCTTGGCAGGGGCTGAATGCAGAACAGAGCCCAGGAGAAAGGTGGTCAGGACCTTAACTGGGTACGGCAGATGTTTGCAGAGATTCCCAACTATTCCTGACCTTTTTGTTAGTTTTCCATGTAAAAATTAACACCTGTGGGAAGCATGTGAAAACATCACTGTAAGAGCAAGATGTGACCAGGGCCTCCAACTACACTGGAGATGAACCCCCCAATCCTGCTAACTCAGTACACTGGACCACACATGCAACATATGGAATGAGTGATACAGAGGCATCATAAATTTTAGAAAACTGAAAAGATCGTTTTTAGGGGAAACAGAGACTCAATTTCCAGCAAAGAAAACATAAAGCTATAAAAGCACATTTTCTGTGGCTGTTTTTTATACCAAAACCTACAGAAATAGTGAGTGTGTTTTTTTTTTTTTAATTCTGCACAGCAGATTGAGGTTTAGATTTTTGACCAAACCAGAAGGGAAGGACACTTTACACCAGCTCAGCGCACAGCCAGGGTAACCCTGCACTGAATTCCTGCAGCATCACCACCACCATTGGCCCTAAGCCAGAAACAACCTGGGCTGACTTTCCAATCTCTATGGGCCAACAACTACAGACAAGCTTCCTGGGCCAGACTTGTGCTTTTACTTTCCCTGGAAATTATCAAGACAAAACTAAAGTAAAAGCCCACAGCATCACTTGTCAGCATCACACAGCTCTTTGCTTCTGTCCATCTACAGAAGTCGATCCAACAGCAAAAGTCTCAGCACAGCCCTGGAGTTGTGTGGTATATCCAAGTCACCATCTGTTGATGATGTGCCAGCAAAATTTCAAGGTTGCTGAGTTTGTTTAGTTTTGCAAAAGTTTTCTGCATGTGCCTTGAATATTAATATCAAGGTCTCAGGTTTCCTTGGCTGATCAGGGGAGCCTCGTAATTCAAAGCAAAAAGTGCTTCAAGGAGAATTACAGAAGGGGAAGGATATTGAAACTTTCTGGCCTCGTATGATGAAAATAATAATTTCCTACTGCTGGCAAGGAAATTAAAACCTTTCCTTGCTTACCCATGAAGCCATTCCCTGGCAGCATCAGTTTGAAAATGGCAAGCTTTTCTTTTTTTAGGAAAGGAGAAAATACTTAAAAAGTAAAGAGTAATACATGATATAGGTTTTCCTGAGAAGGGTGCATTGTGCTGGTAGAACACAAACCATCAAAAATAGCCCACTAGCTTTATGTCAGTGTTCAACACAGTGACAAAATGCAGCTTGTTCTCCCCATTTAGCTGTGCCACAAAGCATCAGGATATTCAGAGAGAGATGTGGAGACCAAGCAGCACGCCAGCTGCCCTGTGACCTGAGCTCTGCTAAAAGTTATTAAATGGGAAATACCTCCAGAGTCCTCATCTCATGCCCAACCTCAGACCAGGCTGGTTTTGATCTGGAAAACATCCGGAAAACATTTGTCTTCTCTGACCTTACCTGAAGCAGGAGGAAAAGGTTGTTGGGTTGCCTTTTCTAAAATCAACAAAAATCAATAGAAAAAAATGGAGCTTTGGTTTTCCTTAAGGTGCACCACTTGCAAGCCATCACCCACCACCCGCCCCGGGTGTCGCCTGGCATGGGAGGGCAGACAGGAGGGTCTCAGGAAGGCACAAAGAAATTGGGATTTTGTGTGGGGATAAAGGACCCTGGCAGCCGGCTACCTTTCAGTGCCTCTTCTCAGGAGCCTAAAAATCAAGTGCACATGATGGAAAATGCAACTCCTCTTCCATTTCCATCCCCATACCCATGTGCTCCAATCCAGCTGCTTCTACTTCATCACACAGCCTAAGCGTCTTGTAAAGTTTTATACCAAGTTGGGGCAGACTTTCAAAAAATCTGAACACAGGGAAAATGTCACACAGAACTTATATCAACTCCATGAAAGGTAAGAAGATAAATGTGAGCTTTTGTCTGAGATGTCTGTGAATAAATCTGAGCTACTGATGCCTGTGGGTGTCTCTGAGTGAAATTCATCTCTCACTAATGGAAATATTTTGATTAACAACTTTATTAGCCTAGTGGCAAATACCACTTTTTTCTTTTAAATCACAGAAAAGTGTCATAAAATATTTCATTTGCACATTAACAGGATATTTATAAAGTACTCGATATTAGAGTTCTCTCAGCAGGCAATTACAGATATGTTCTACTTTTTTTAAAGTTTTGGTTTGTTTTTTTTAATTAGTCTCAAGGTGACTTCCAGCACACAAACACATCCCACTAAATTCCCCATAAAACTGCTTGTAATAGTTAGTTCTCAGGCTTACTGCAGCACTTTGCAGTGCAGGCATTACACAACAATCTGTAAAAGATCCAATTTTCAAAACATACTGAAAACTAAGAAACAAGGGTGAGGCATAAGACAGCAGTAGTTATATACAGTATGAAGTCCAGAGAAGGAGCCTGCTGTAAATCAGTTGAATGCAACTGCTGACTTTTCCAATGGATCCAGGGGAGAAAGTTCTCTCAAACCCTTGTTCTTCATGTTCTTGCCTGTCTCCTGTCCTGCCCCAGTGGCCTCTGGGTACAGAGCATTTCATCCTTGGCTGGGTGCATCACTACTGGTAGGACTCAGACAAGCAGTCCTTCTGGGAGCACTCGGTCCAACTGTTCTCCAGGGCCAGTTAGACCAGGGCAGGTTCCCCTTTCTTCCCTCCTGCCCAAGATACATTAAATGCTGTGATTTAGAGAAAGCTGGAGAAGGCTATTCTAGATGAACAGTACTATCGCTAATCCTATTCCAACTGTTATGTACACACTTTGGGTACGTAACATACAAACCCTGCCCACATTGGCCAGCTCTTCTCAGCCAACAACATTTCAGATAACACTGCCAACCCTGCCCCTAGTGCGGCCACACCAGGAGCTCCCATGCATCATCTGCTCCCAGTATGAGCAGTGCTAATAGTGTATTTGTGCCTCTCTCCCACCCAGGTGAGTGGCATTAATAAAGGGATGGGTCGGACCCGGGAGCAGCGCATCCTGATCATGGTGGTGGCGATGGTAATTTGCTTTCTCCTTTGCTGGCTGCCATATGCGACTGTGGCACTTATAGCTACGTTTGGGAAACCTGGTCTCATCACCCCTGCAGTCAGCATCATCCCATCCCTCCTTGCCAAAAGCAGCACAGTCTACAACCCCATCATCTACATATTTCTGAACAAACAGGTAAGTAAAATGCTATCTTTATCTTTACTCAGATTCAATGTATGCAAGAAGTAAAGAAATAATGAGGGGAAATAAAGAGTGTATTGGTGATATCACTGAAAAACCATATGAGAGGGAAGCACAGAAAAAGGGCTACAAGGAGCAAATTTAATTGACAAGTCTGGACTTCTGGAAGTTAGATAACCAACTTCCCACATGTCCAAAAAGCAACCGATGGGTCCTTCCTTTCCACTACACAATTTGATGAACAGCAAGCTAAACATGGAGGAGAAGAAATCAATGATCTGACAAGCATGAGGGCATCAGAAGTTGATTCAGACATATTAAGTCCTGTAAGGACATGAGCCTTTGCTACCCTACGCCATGTGCTGGCACAGCGCATTGCCCATAGTAACTCCTCTTCTTTGCAACATCAGTTTTCTCTTCCCCGATTTACTCTTGTAAATCTTGTAAACATACAACTCCCCCCCCCAAATCCTTCAGTCACTCTTCTGTCCTACTCTGCACCTCCTAACAGCTGGTGGGAACCATGACCAGCAAGGATCTGTCTAAAAACACTGCTGGAGGAGTGGACCCTGGAGCAGGGGACAGCACAGCTTGCTTCAAATCCTCCGTTTCCCTCCCTCTGCTATGCAGAGAGCCAAAAAATAGATGGCAGGAGGGTACCAGGCAAGGGGCTGTAGATGTAGCTGGGGCTGTACTTCCAGCTAGAGGGTTGGCCTCAGGACTACCCTCACCAGATGGTAAACACAAGACAGAGGCTTGAAAATATCTTTAACATTGTGCACAGTAAGTGAATAACTGTGATTCTCCATATCCTTCCAGCAAGACATGAATTTCTGGCCCTGCCCAGCTCTACCTCAGAATACCTGTCATGTATTGATTCATTCCCTTTGGAAACTTTGTCTAAAAAAATTGCTGTGTGCATAACAAATGATCCCTTTTATTCATCCAAAGGGATGAATTTCAGCCCTGTCAGAGTCAGCTGCTGGTGTCAGCACCAGGGTGCCGTTAGCCCTGTTTCAGGGCAGCTGTGGCACCTCAGGTCTGATGCTAAAGGCAGGGGTAAGAGACCCCTCTGAGCCGAGCGTGCTGCTAAGGGGGATTGGGCTCCACAGTGCTGGCAACCCACCCTGGTACAGCTCACCAGCAACTCACTGGCTTTGCTGCGATGCCAAAGGGGAACAGAAACCCCCATCTTTAGATGGCTCAAGAAGGCATTGGAGCTTTCCTGGAAATCTTTCAGTACTTCTACCTTGCTGAAATGTGCCCATAAATAACACCTCTTTTTCTGGTGAAGATTCAACTCATGGCAGGAGAATGTGGGTTTTAACTATATGCAACACAGAATAGAGAGAGAAATGCTTCATAACACCATGCAGCTGTCAATTCAGCCCAAGAGTACCCACTTTTGCTTTGACCCTACTTTTCTCCCCTTAGAAACTCCAGGCACAGATACCCAGGCACCAGTAGCATGACTATTTCTCCTCAACTGGGATTTGATTGCCCTGCCATTGTCAGTCTTTCATCCCACCCAGCCCTTCAAATGGAAACTGTGAGCTGAGGCGAGGTGAAGACTAAAGATGCTGTGCAGATTTGGGGATCATGTTTCCACCTGTGCCACTGCCTACTCAGGAGGATGCCAGAGCCTTTGGCACAATAGCACGGGGGGAAAGACAGACCCTCCCATGATGACTTGTGTCTGTTTGACTGCTCTGAAACCTCCTTGCTGACCCAAGTTTGCATGCCCTGAAACACATGTGGCATTAGCTCACGTTTGTTAAGCTAATACATTCCTCAACTGTTCTGGCTTGTACAGTCAGGAGGCTGCCAGGACCTAATATCTAGAGGAAAACTGTTCATTAGATAAAATAGAGGAGAAGAGTAGAAGAAGCTTTAGAAGGCCATCTATCTGCTTTTCTGTCACCCACTCTGTGCAAAGATTTCTCTCCTTTCTTTTTCCTGATCAAGTGAAAATGGGCCCTGTAACTCCTTCTTGCTTCATGGCCCTTACAGTACTGTTTGTATTTGCTTTTCTTTCCTCCTGCTGCTGCTAACTAGTCCCTAGGGCTCAAAGATCAGGTTTCTTTCTCAGTACACTTAGTTGCACTTGTCTGAAAAGTTCTGAGAAATGGCCAAACCAGAAAATATACTCTCCCTTAATCAGCACACGTGGGATTTCTGCAAATAACGTCAACTGCGCCCAGTGATCCCAGGAGAGGGAAGCTGATGTGTGCAACTCTGCCGCCGGGCTGAGGATGGCTGGGTTTCACCCAAGCCCTTCCCCACACTCAGGGAGGGAGAGGACCATGTGCTGCTCCCAGCTGTAGTCCCACACCCGGCAGGGGGAGAACTCATGATCTTCCCCTCCCGGTAGGCTACATTTTCTTGTGCAAGCTAAGAAAACGTGATGCTGTTCATGAGAAAAAACATCAAGCTGATGCACAGCACACAACAGGCAGGAGCTGGGGTAGCCCCTTGCACAGGGATGGAGAATTAAATCTCAGAAGAGGAAGGGGGATGAAAAGAGATCTACAGAGAACAAACAGAGAGTATCAGAGCTAGTCCAGTCCCTCAAACATCTTCAGCTCCATCAGCCCACTAAGTCAGGCACATTTCATTGATCTTTGAATTGCTGGTATTATAGCAGGTGGATAATTTGTTTCTCTGAGCCCAGCAAATCCTCCACTTGAAATGTTTTTTGGAAGCTGTTAGGAAGCACAGATAGTAAATCTCTCTCTCTTGAAAACAAATGATGATAGTAAAAGATTGAGTTGAAGCCTGGCAGTAACTGTGGGCATTTTTACTGGGGCATGAGAAATTCCCAGGGAGTAAAGTGTTTCCATGACACCGTCCATCAACTCTACTCACTCTCACTAACAGCTTGGGGGAGTACATTGCTTTCTCTGCTCATGCTCAGCCTCTGGCAGAACTCCCTGACTTCTTCCCTGCAACATGAACAATTCTTTCCCTTCTCCTTTATTATTTATTTTTTAAAATAAATTATTTCATTAAACTGCCTAGAACATTGAAGAGAGATTACCAACCCTTACCATGGAAAAGCACCCAAACAGACCAACAGCTGCTAGTGCTTCACTGTGCTTACTACCGTGCTAAGCCTTGCTCCCACACCCAGGAGCAGCACCAGCCAGAGCCAAGCTTATAAACTGCAGCAGCATGACCTGTTGATCGTAGTACCTAGGGGGGAGATGGAAGCCCTGAGCTAATTACAGTAACTGGTAACTGCCATCTCAGCCCAAATCCCATTGCAGAGACATCAAGAAGTCTGGCTGACTCACCACTCGACAGCTTGCTCTGCACCTACCCGTTCCCATGGCCAGAGTCTCCACCCTGCAAACATGTGCAACCCCAGTTAAATCAAGAGAGGCAGTTTAAAAATGACAGGCTAATCTTAACATGTTCATGGGCTGGAAGGATCACTCTATGAAACAACACAGACTGTGCAGAGGAGTTATGTTTTCTACAAGTGCTTTCTTAATTAATCTTTTTACTAAATAGATTGCTTAAAGGCAGCAGGTAGATACAAATTAAACTGGGTTTATCCATGTCAAACATGTCCCTTAAGTTCACCATAAACTTTTACTACTAGGGTTATGTACGTGCTTTGTTTTGCATTTTTTTCCTAAATGCCACTTGGTTTTCATTTCTCAGTATTTTAGCAGCGATCAGTGTTCAGGTTTCTATATTCAGTACAGACCACCAAGAAGTCAATACTCTGAGTTTTACTACACTCAAGAGAGAAGACAGTAGAAGCACCTCAGATCAGAAAATGCTGACACATTGTTTTATTGTTTCACACACGTGTGAAATCCTTCATATTAAACACTTGAGCTTTTCTGCTAACAGTGACAGCTTTGCTCCCTGAACAGAGAAGCCCACTGCTCCTCTGGCTCCTGTGCGAGCACAGGGGCTGTACCCACCTCTGTGCAAGGGACACACACCAAGCTCCTGCCCAGAGGCTGCTCCACAAGCAGCAGAGCCATGGAAACACAGGTGCCTGCAGGCTCTGCCTCATGGCAGTGCCCAGGGAGGGCTCTTCGATGGATTATAAGATCCTTCATGCTTACTCTGCTGTCTCTTTCCAGTTCTCCCACCTCTGTCCAGCTGCCTCTCTTCACAAAACTCATCTAGAAAAGTGGCATTGCTAATTCCTCTGTTAGATCTGGCTCCAAAACTGGTTCAAAAGTGAGCTGTGTGCAGAGAGGAGGGATGGACAGAGCAGGATAAAGTGAGATTTATTCCTTAGCAAGCCATGCAAACAAAAAACCCCCCCCAAAAAACAGAAAACAAACCAACCCCAAAACACACAAGATAATCAAATAAATTAACCCGTGTTGTCTCAGAATGTTTCAGCATTCCCTCCACTTTTCCTCCACCACACTCTCCATCACATCCACGTTCTCACACAGCCTGCTTTTCCTATCAAACATTGCAGGTCAATGTTTTTCATATCCCTAAATTAAGCTCCACAACTATGGTCACAAGAGGAACTCTCAGGAACTAGTGTATTTTGTACATGCAGCACTCAAAACGCTGGTGTTTATTCATATGTAAATTTTAGATGTCTGACCTTTTTAGCTGCTGGATCATCTAACTGGTCACAGAAGTTTTATTCCTGTTTTGAGACAGGGGTTTTCTTGCCCCCTGAGTAACTGTCAGCTGCCCCTGGGATAGCAGCTAGCTATGCTGATGAGCACCGGAGCACAAACTAGCTGGGAGCCAGCCCAGCTCTTGGCAAGAGAGGCTTTTGCAGAAAAATCCATCTTCCAGCAGCAATCCAGCACCCAGGGAGTTACAGGCTGTCCAGTACCATGAGACCTGCACCAGAATCACCCCCTTGCCCTTACACCCAAGCCGGGCTGTTTTTCTCCAGCAGCATTGCTGTTGCCTTTTTGATTTGCAAAATATTCACAGGGCATTTTGCAAACTCCGGGCTGAGAAAGGACTGGGAGAAGCGCTGCACCCATGGCTGCACCCACCCTCCTGGAGGTCTGGGGGGAGCACACAGGAGTGCCAGGCAGACTTACGGTGCAAACAGGAGATGCTGGTCATCCAGATAACCATGTTCAACACTGACAATATTCCTGATGCTACGGAAATCTATAGGAGATACCTTGATAACCTTGATGCAGCTTTCATTTCTAATTTCATGGTATTTCTAAAACAGTTCTATGTCCAGGCTTCCACCCCTACTTCAGTAAATGTTCAGAAATCTCTAATCAGGCTAGATAAAATCAGAGAATAGGCCAGATAAAATAACATCAAGCAAATACCTCCAGGCAAGGGGTAGGTGAAGGTTAAACAGATAAAAGAGACTCTTAGGCTGCAATAGAAATTTCTGGGGGATTAAGCAACTACAGAAAGATGGCTGATAAGAGCCTCACTCACCCACATGAACTTGACCACGGGGGGGGGCAAACCCCAGAAAAATAGACAACATTCCCCAGAAGTTTTCAAGCTGCTTCATATTTCAATGCTCAGTGGTGAGAGGATGATGAAAAAATGATAATTATTTTTATTATGAAGAAAGTCTTTAATTCCTGAGAAATTTCAGTTTCTCATTAAAAAAAAAGAAATTTCAGCTGATGCAAAGATTGTTTGAAACCCTTCAAAAGCCATTTTCCCCAGCAAGCAAGTCTGCCAACAAAAAAGTTGCATGATTTTTTACTTGGCTGTTGATAGCAAGAGTTTTCAAAGCTTCTTACTATCTGCTGTATTGTACAGAGAATTACCATTAAAGTTGTTAATGGTAATGTTCCAGGAACTTAATGGAAATAAAGACCGTTAAGACAAAGCCTGTCTTATAAAAAATAAATAAAATTTCTGCTAACTTGCTGTTCTCTACATGCATGTGATAGTTTTACAGGTGCTTTTTGGCACTTCTGAGATGCAACAAAGCCACCACAAACTCCAGCAACAAGTCCTCGTCCAGGTCCTGCTGTGCACTGCAGCGGGCGCCAGGCAACACCTGCCCCACAGCTGCTGCCTTGGCCAGGCAGCCCTCAACCAAGAGCCCGGACCCTGCTGGGAGCCCACACCCACCTCCAAAAGAGACCCCAACAGCTAAAAGAGCTGTGCTGGTGGCTCACTACAGCGCCTGACCCAGGTTGCCACGATAATGCCAGAGGCTGCTGGTGTTTTGGGGGAGTTTGAGTCCAGACATGAGAGTTTTCCCAAATAACCTCAGTTTGCAGCTTTGTTTCTAATGAAGAATTGCCTGTCTGCTTCCTCAGAGGTTGGTTTCACCAATAAGCCATTTCCCTGTTTCTCAAAGACTCTTCCCTAATGATACGCCAGGAGTTCTATGGGAGTTTTGGAAGAAAACAAAATGAAAACCACAGATGGCTCTAGAAAAAGGTTTAAAAAACAAAAACAGAAACAAACAAACCATGTTCTGGTTTTTGGCAGAAAGTCTTCAATCAACCAAAAAACCCCTAACCCAACAACAACAAAACAGAGATCCAGAACACCTTGCTACAGAATAGCTCCAAGAAACAATCTACATGCAAAGAGGGGAAGCAAACAGGTTATTCTCCAGTTGGGAAACTATCAACTTGCAGATGGTCTCTCTCTGGTTTGGATTATACTGTACCTTAAAAGTCTCACTTCACTTTTCAATACAAACCTGAACAGATTATGAAGAACTGCAGTTATGAATTAAAGCTCTACTAAAATTTAAAGGTCATATATTTGATATGTTTCAAAGTATAGAAATTGAAGCGGAAGCATGAGAAACCAAGTATTTTAGGAAATTTTTATTTTTTATTTTTTATTATTAGCTTACAAGGTTATTGCACCAAAGAATAATTTCCTCATAACACCCAGTGAACAAACAACTCTCTAAATATGCAGCACTCAGCTGGGTAAAGCCCTCGCCTCTGGAAATCTGCCCGTTTGTAAGCGTTAAGACAAAAGCAAGATTCCAGCTCTTTTTATAGGTGTGGTTATCTGAGTATTTGTGGAGCCAGAAGGGACAGGCCAGTCAGTGTAGGCTGTGAGCAGTGCAGCTGCATTCATTTATACCAGATGAAACCCTGCAGCATTGAGCAGTAGCGGGTACAGTGTATTTTTACCCAGAATAGTCGCAGTGACCCCATCAGGAAAGCTGGTTGAGGACCTTCTACAGGATCTTCCTCCTGGACCATCTTTGGGAACTGAAGTGACAGATGGTATCTTCTATAAACAGAAAAGTGTTGGAAAACCTCAGAAGTACAGCTGAAGGAAGAATTAAAAAACAAGCAAACACGAAACAACCTTCTCCCTCATTAACTCTGAGCACAATCCCAACATTTTGACAATATTTGTCATTCCAAATGGGAAGGAAAACGTGAAATAGCACCATTCTGTGGAGAATTAATTTTCAAATCCCAAACTACATGGAAATGCCATCTTTCAGATGAGCTTCACACTGAAGTATGTCCACATGACCTGCCAAGGTAGCTATCAAAAACTGGTATCACAGCACTTTAATTACCTTGCATTAGCCAAGCCAGAACCGTGAAACACAGAGGTCTGGGTGAATGGGTATTGTGGGAGAAAAAGTTAATTGGATTTTTTTGATCACTGCATGAGTTGGATC